CACAAGGTGTGTAAAGGTGTTCTGAAATAAACCATGAAAATGAGCAGACATTATGAGGAGGACATGCAACACCAAAACCTGGAGGAATAGAATCCATCGTGTCTTAGTTATGGGTCTGTTTATATCTTCAGCTAAAACCAGGAAGAACGGCAAAACCTGACAGGTTGATGAAGATCGTTCGATAGTTAAGTGCTCACTGTGGAACAAAAACCTTCAGTCACTGCTGCCCTCTCCTGCTCTTAGACCTGATATAGATTATGTTGTAAGGCATATAGTTTGCCGCTAGATGGCAGCGCTGCGTACTTTTATTTTGTCTTGTCTGCGTTCACGGCCACCTGCAGTTCCTTACCTTTGATCTGGCTGTGCTGTGAGTCATACAGGTGACTGGTCCTGGGTTTTCTCTGCCCAGCCACTCACTATGTCACGGTAAAGGCTGAACGCTGGTTGCACAGACTTTATTGATGGTGGATGCTCAGGGTTCAGTCCTGAAGCACAACAGCTACCTTTTCTGCGAGCACTCCTATTTCACAGGCTTTGTTCACAAGACCTTGCTTCCTCTACAATGAGATACCCAAGGAGCTGCTGCTGCACAAGGAAAAATCACAGTAATGTGCTTGTGCAACGATGCTACTTTTTATTAAAAATATTTCATGCAGTATTTCATTTTTAACAGAGGACAGAAATGACTACATTTGCTTTTTTAAATACTAGTTACAGTTCTACAGATAAATAATAATGCTGGACTCTAAATCAAATCTAAATCTAATTTTTTTGTGTGTAGAACACCATGCATATGGCACATTTATTACACAGTAAATAATGCTCTAATACAAAAGGTTTAGAAGTTGGAAGGTGCGGTATGGAGCACATTTTTGCAACCTGAACCTTTTAATAAGGATTTGGTGGGAAAACTGTAACGCTGGAGAGCCAGATCATTGCACTGTCTGTCCATTTTCTAATCCAATTCAGGTTTGCAGGGGAGCCAGAACGTATCTTGGCAAGCAACGAGCACAAGACCCTGGATGGGACACCAGTCCATTTCAGGGCACACAAACTCCCCATATCAGGGCCAGTTTTCCCAGAAGCTGGTTAGCCTGCCAGTACATCGCTGAACTATGGGGGAAACTCATGCCAACGGCGAGAACATGCAAACTCCACACAGATAGCACCCCAGAAACTGAACCCAGAGTCTCAGCAAGGTTAACCACAGCACCAACATGCCACCCCCTCCCCATTGCCCTACCGTGAGCCTCCAAGACTTTGAATTCTCTAACGTCCTGCGAACATCCGAGTGATTAAGGGAGTGTTCCCTAGCAACGCTCACGGAACTGATCAGAATCCCCAGACGCTGTAGAGAGAGTGCCTCAGAAGCTGGCAGGGCCCAGCCTCCCAGGGCATATCTTGAGCAACAGGCATTCTGACACGGGCACAGGTTTCACGTTCTTCTTGAGTCTGGCCTGAACTGAGAAAACAAAACACTGGGAGGCAGATTTCTCCATTTCCTGCTTCCTGCAGTTTCAGCTCGGCCCCCCCCCAAGCTTCGATTGCACTTGCAAAATTCACACATCGCGGATCTAACATCGCCGCTGTGGTGCTCCCTCCCTCCTCTTGCCTCGGCAAGGAAGGATAAAAAAAAAAGGATTGTGCAATTTCTGGGTCTTACGAATTAATTAAAAGGAATGAAAACTGGCGGTCGTGTCGGTCGGCGGTTAAATCTCCCGTCCTCTGAGGTGCAGTACCAGGAGACAGGGCGGGACGGGAACAATTCCTGAACAGGCCTTCCTTGCTTGCCAGCTCGTCTGCCCCTCCATCACAGAAAAGGAAAATGTGTCTGCCTCTCAGCATGCCGGATCTGTGCTTAGAACACAACACTGTAGCTCACATTTTGTTATCCATCTGTTAATTATGGGACAGTGCGGTGGCTCTGTGGCTAAGGATCTGCGCCTGTGACTGGAAGGTTGCCAGTTCGTATCCTGAGGCTGGTAGAGGAATCCTACTCCGTTGGGCCCCTGAGCAAGACCCTTCACCCCAACTGCTCCAGGGGTGCTGTATAAATAGCTGACTCTGTGCTCTGACCCCAGGCTTCTCTCCCTGTCTGTGTATCTCATGGAGAACAAGCTGGGGTATGTGAAAAGACAAGGTCATAATGCAAGAAATTGTGTGTGGCTAATGAAGTGATCTTACTTAATTACCAAACTTATTAAGTGATTAGATAATTAAACCTAATCACTTAATTAAACCCTTTTTGAAAAACAAAAACACATATCGGGTAATATCAATGCACCTGAGAGGAAATACTCATTAGCAGTGTATCACAAATCCCTTTCAAACAACTGGCAAACCGACTCCCACCGAATGACGCTTGACGACATCAGCTGGCTTCAGGTCATTGCCTAAGAATCTGACTTGAGCGCTCAGTCAGAGGCAAGTATCCGTGCGCATTGCAACAGTTCATGTTTCTGGAAAACAGCGGAACGTATTCAATCCAGAATAAACAGATATTTACTGCTCCTTTCCCTACACAGCTGTATTTCAAGAAACCAGATCTGCTTGCAAAGCGATCACGTTTTCGTATTTGTCCACGTGGAGGTGCAACCACGTGGAGGTGTCCTCTTATGAACCCCTATTGTCAAACTGAAAGCGGGGTAAAGGAAGCAAAGCTTTGCCCGGGACATTATTTCTCCTTTATCTCCTGGTAACAGGAGACTGGTTTTAGGGAGGCAGATCATAAATGTCCGAAAGGATGAATGAATGCTGACAGCTCTGAGACTTGAGTCGCAGGATCTGCTCTTATTCTCCCTGTCCTCGATTGTAAAACCATAGTGTCAGGAAGGCGCTCTTTCCAGACCCTATGCAGACAACACAATCCGGGGTAGAGTGAAAAAACATGGGGAAAACAGCATGCGGGAGTCAGGAATGATGTGTCCATGGTGCGCTGGTGTTCGGAGGAGGTGTGGCCGAGGCAAACAGTCCGGAGCTGAGTCCAAAAGGGGAATCCAAAACGGGGCAAAAGTCCAAAGCCAGGAGATCCATCCAAGACAGACGAGATAAAAACAAGAACCAGGTCGGGACCGGCACGGGAACGGGAACAGGAACAGGAACAAATACAGGAACTAAAACCTTAACGGGACCAGGCGCTTCCAGGTCCCGGACTCGCCTGGTATGAAAAACAGAGCACAGCCCGGAACAGAGCCAGCGTCTGGCTTTTAAGGGAAACTGAAAAGGGGGCTGGAACAGGGAACAGGTGCGGGGGATGAGTAAAAAACAAGGAAGGGCTGGAGCGCCCTTAAGAAGAGGGGCTTACGAACGTGACACATCTTATGAAATGAACAGACATCATCTCCTCCTATTGTTCCGATCCAGTTTTCGGAGACTGACGTTTTGGGGATTACAGTATATAAAATAACTCCTGAAGACAATGATGTAAGCAGATCAGAGAGACAGAAATCTGGCCTCACCACCGTCACCCAGACTGTACCCCTAGGTGACAGTCGGGGGTTCGGAGGCGACGGAACCATCGACCGGCCCGAAAGAGGAGGAACGAATTCACCGATCCGAGATGATGAGGTGTGGATCTTGTTCTCCCTCGTGTCGGATTCTTATCAAAGGAGGTACCCTCTGCGACCGTAGCGCTGTGATATTACTGATCATGGTCCACAGTGCTGGACTGGGCATGGGCACGGAAAGAGGTCCCGGACGCTCACCCTGGGATGTGCTGCTTGGGACGATCCAGCACCCTGGGATTGGGAATGACGCAGGAATCCTCTGGAGCGTCTGGCCCAGGTTCCAGAGGGTTTGCATGTCCTGGGGAGTCGACCAGTCGGGACTGCGGCCAGTCGTGTGCGATGTAGCGGTGGTAGGGGTCCTCGGAGTTCTCCAGCTTCTTGGACCGGATGTAACTGAGCATGATGGCGAAGGTGAAGGCGCTGAACAGGCCCACCATCAGCAGGATGTAGATGATACCGTGGCTGTCGTCCGCGGGGGGACTGCGGGGCGCCGCGGCCTCTCTCTCCCCTGCTGTCCGGTTCAGGCACTGCTGGAGCAGGGAGACCAGCAGGGGCTGCAACTGAGTGCTATTTCCCCAGGGCATAGCGCCGCCTACAGGGAGGGGAGAGGGCTGTGAGTGTTCCCAAAGTGGGTGTTTCTCCAGCAGGGGTGCACAGTACAGGTCTAGAAAACTGAGTGGCAGGGACTTCTGACTGGGCTAAAACGTCTCGGTTAACTGTATCCCCCAGCGGACAAGTCACAAAGGCGAAGGAACTTCTACACTGTGTAAGTCCCAAAGCTTGCAGGGTTAAGCGGGTCTCAGATAATGGGAGTAACTTGAGTAGCTCGGGTTGGAACAGAGCCCAGAAAAACACCCAGAAATGGTGTCAAAACATAATCACAGCTCACCCCACCGCTCTCTGGCGGTCCCCTGGGCGCCGAGCGGCGAGCTCTTTGCCGACTGAGCTCAGAGGAAATGGGTTCGGTGGCTGGGTAGCGTGCAGATGAAACCAGCGCCGCTTCTGAAAAACAGAGATAAAAAAACCGCGCAGCAATGAGCAGGAAACCAGATGTGTTCCAGGATTTACGAGCTCCGCTGTTATCACGTTAAAGTACAGGAATGCTGCTCTGTTCAGTTTAGATTCCATCTGTTTTGCGTAAACGTTTCCATATTCTACCAGGTACCACGTTAATGTTGTTTAATTTGTAAAGATTTTTGATAGATGAGAGGATTCTCATAATGTAGTCTAAACCGCCTCCAGGTGTGAATTCTTCAGAGCGCAGTTAATCTACGTACCTGTCAGCACTTGTTTAGAAAGAAATGAGACCTGCGCTGTGAGAGTGGAGAAGAGTGTGCAGCCGAACATAGTAATGAAGATTTTTAAACAGTCCAGACATTTTATTATCCTTGATTTACAATCCTACATGTAACATTTAGGTAACACATTCCATACATAGGTGAAATCTTGCACTCCAAACGAATTGGCTTCGAGTTATAATGTCTTTTGCTTCACTCACTTAGGATCTCCATCCGTCCTTGCGTCAGGCCGCTTGGAACCCGGGTACGAGTCGCTCGTACCCGGGTTCCAAAATCGGAGGGCAGGGAAAATAACGATAACCTGGCATACCCGGCTACATCTTTCAACAATTACAACGCCTTTTAGTAAAACCGAGAGTCAAAACGTCGAGAGAGAAAAACATCGAAAAAAACTTTTACAGACCTGCCTTCTGTAGCAGACCGCCCCGCGTCACAGACGGCTCAGAAACCGGGCGCAACTTGCCGTGTCCCGCATCTTCTCCCGGCGAGGCTGATGGCTGTAATGAGCAATGGCTGTACAGGATGTTACCGCCGTCCGCTCACCGATAGTTCGGCATCAGTGCCTCTCTCTTTGTACACCGCTCGCCTGGGCTTCAAGTCCACGTGTACGCCCGGACTGGCTTGTTCCAGCCTGTTTGTCTTTTCCCCGCAGAGTGAAGCTTTGTTTCTTTCAGTTGTCCCGATGTAAGGCGATCAGTTCCTTCGGTGTAAGATTTACACCGCGTCTAGCTGGGCAGACGGGGAGCTGTAATTTCTAAACAACGTTTCAAAATATAAGATAGAAATCACATTCCGGCGGAGACAAATTTGGAAGTTACACCATTGACGTGATCCGAGATGTGGCAAAGAGTTTTCTAGCGGTCAGTTTTCATACAGAAGAGTATCCTTTGCTTAGTGAGCCTTAATCAGTTGTTTAAGTCGTTTTCGTTGTTGTTTTTTTCCTGCAAACTTAATGCAGGAATGCAGTTATTCTCTGGCTAAACGAATGTTTCAACGTCTTCCTTCTCTTGCTTCTTCTGAAATGTATCCCCTCCGCTTTTATTGAACCGAGCTGTGGGAGGACAGAACAGCCAGTCCTGTAGGGGGGGTCAGAAGGAAGATAAGGCAGGCCTTAGGGTGATCTGTCTGTGTGACCCCCGCCTCCCCACAGGCCGTCTTGGGGCTCCTCCTCTGCCCCGTCTGTCGGCCCACCTCCACCCGAAATTGATTTTATTCAAGCCAGGCTTTGTCGTTCAGCTCTTTCCCTTCCTCAATCGGCCCAATGACGCAAAGCAGAAAGAAAAACTAGCAAGGAGGAGAGCTACTTGTCCAGACAGTACCACGCTTTTAAGGCACCCTGGGATGATTCCAGCAGTTCGCCGGGTTGATTATCAGCTTGAAATTTGATTTCTGCCGCAGTTGTCCCGTCATATAACCTGACCGGGTGCAGGGCACCGCCTGCGCACAAATGCCGTGTACAGCTCTTCCGAAATGATCGTTAATGGCCCTAGATTCAGTCTTTCTTATACAGTAGGTCGCAATGAATTAGCTGTTATTTAAAAACATATTAAATTCACTTGCTTAAGCAATTGACCAGTTACGCACGTAGTGTTTCAGTGAAGGGAACCAGTGTTCCCTGTAGGCTGGAAAATATTTAAGGTTTATAATAGGTTTGTTCCGAGTGTATTTGGGAGCAGCGGTTTGCATTGCTGTCTCACGATGCTGGGGCCCTGGGTTCAATTCCTGGGCTGCTGTCTGTGAGGAGTTCGTATGTTCTCTCTGTGTTCACGTGGATTTTCTTCCCACAGTCCACAAACATTGTAGGTGGGCAGGTTAATTGTCTTCTGGGAATATTGGCCCTGGTGTGAGTGTGTTTGTGTGTGTGTCTGCCCTGCGAAGAGCTGGTGCCCTGTGCCCTTTGCTTGCTGGGATAGGCTGGGCACCTCCCACCACCGGCTGCCCTGTATTGGATAAAACTGATGAATGTTCTCGATGTAACTTAACCGAAGACCGGTAATTGGTCTTTGAAATTTGAAAAACTGAAATAATACCAGTCCTCTAGAAACAGATTTTATTTAAATTCTACCTGTAATGCCAGGTGAAGCAGGGCTCCCACAATCCGGTTTTGAGCAATGCGGAGGGAATCAGGCAATAAAAGCGCGCTCTCGCAGATCGAGTGCGGGCATGCAGCCTGGATGCCACGGGTTCGAGCTTGGCTCATGCTACTAGCCGACTGTGACGGAGATCACACCGGCAGTGATGCACAACGCCTTTGAACTTCCTGGGCGCTTGCAGGGACAGTAGAGAGAGATACGACGCTTCTCCAGCCAGGGCCGTCTCAAGGGGTGGGCGGGGCGCGAGGCCCAAGATGGTGGTGGTGAGAGGGTTCTTGTGTGTAGTGGTGGCTGCAGGGAGCCGCACTGAGGTGATGAAGTAGCTACCTAATGGGCCTGCGCTAACAGACATACAGAACCAAACCGAACAGAACTACAAATCGCCGTTGTTGCTAATGCTATCGGCACCTTCAGGTGTCTCAATGCTAGCATCCTTGTCGTCGTCGAGATCACCACCCGAGTCCGTTTCTTCTTCGCTCCTGGTTTTTTACAACGAACCTTTCAAAAGACCCTTTAAGTGCCACATTTGCACCCCCCCTTTTCTGCTTCCTTCTTCTATTCCTGCACCCACTGTAGTATTTTCGAAATTTGTCCCTGTCTCAGCTTGTGTTCGCCATTTTTTCCACAGGCTAACGTTTTTTTCCAAGCTAGTTTAGTTACGCCGCAATAACTTTGCAACTGATGGCCTATGACGTAGTTAGTGCGGGACACGCCTCCAGCTCTGAAGGGTCTCATTTAGAACATTCAAGTAAGATTTATGTGCAAACAGCCAGTCTGGTTTTGGGTAGAATTCATTTCTATTTCATAATTGAAATAACCCGTAGGCGTTCTTCTACAGTATATTCCGCACATTGTCCGGACTGTGACAGGATGTGGAGCTGACCACTTTCGCCAGTTTCACACGCTATGCTAAAGAGCTGTTGTCCATCTGCTTCGCCCAGCTGCTCGGCATTGTGTTTGTTAGTTCGGAACATCCAGGCTTCGCCGTAACTACCCCAGCTATGAACGCTTGTAGACACCCCACACCATCTCCCTCGAAATTTCAGCCACGACAAAGTCCGCGACATCATTCTGAAGGTGTACATTCAGCGGTGTACGAGCAGAGTTACGGATCGAGTGACCTTTTTAAACGAGTTTAAAATCGATGCAGACAAGACCGGGGGTGTAAATTTCCTTGTTGGAACCTCGCCTTGCTCCTGTTCGCGTTCTGTTCAAAGAAATGACTTTTCATGTTAACCCCTACAGTGTGGAACCACTTAAAAAAAAAACAAATACAAAACGTAGGTGCGATAAGTGCAGTTTGGAATATTATATGATAGTTTAGACCATGTAATGTAGATTCAGAATGGTTAACCTTGAGCTCTGAGCAAATTTTCTATTGGAGTTTGTTTTTCCTTGGCTACTTTTACCTCATCTTAACAAGAAATGATCTCATTTTTCTTACTGGACCCAGATCAAGTCAGTCTGACCAGTAACAGTTTGTTTTTGGTGGGAGTGGGAGTCATTGCCTCCAGATTGCCCAGTTTTCTTCTGCGGAAAAGCAAGACTCTTGCCCGAGCCATGACTGTACAACTCTCACTCTCACAGAGTAAATCACAGCCTCTACTGTGACCTCCACATTCTGCCTGTTTAATGAGCAGGAGATGACAGACCAAGGTCGCCTGGCCTGACAGAGGACAAGCAGTCTGGCACACACTCTCCCAGTGAGGGCTC